GAACTGCCCGGTGGCCCTGTGGATCAGACACTCATTTGTTGGGTGAGACATCTGACTGCCAGGCTTCCCTGAATGTCTGTGTGTTCAAAGCAAAATATTGTCAACAAGAATATTCTGCAAATTTGGGATTAGGTTGTTCCTTTATGTTTTTTATTCACTCAGGTGGGAGAAAGAATTAAACCAAATCTCCCCAAAAAAAGTGTTTGAATGCTCAAACAACTGAAAGTTACTGGTTAAGGAAGCTACTCTTTCTCCAGTTGTGGTGTTGGTGTTTTTTTTTGTTGAAAATCTTATTCTGTTTTTTCCCACAGCTAAGATTATTTGGTGAATTTGCAGATGTTTTTTTCAGCCTATGAAAGATGTATTTTTTTCACTCTAAGCACTTTTTGCTTAAAATACTCTTTTACATCTGAGCAGTGAGAACAGAGGCCAAACAAACCTCCCATTGTGGGTAGCAGGAAGTCAGTTGCCTCGGCTGAACTGGGGGCACTGCAAGTGGGATACTGTCTTGCAAATGAAGTCTTTTACTGTAATCCATGAATCACGCATCAGTCTGCTCTTAGCAAGCCTGCAGAGCCTCTGAATTCCTTATGTACAGGAATGTAATGGGCAAGCAGGAAAACACTGAATGTTTAGAAGTAAAACCACTCTTATTTTGCTGCTTCTAAAGAAGATTAAATTATTTTGCACTTTATTTCAAAATGGAACTATACAGGAATTTCATCCAGCTGCCTCAGTGAAAACACTTTCACTTTGACCTCAAGGGTGAGCATCCCGTGGCATCTCTTGGTGCAGGTGTGTAGCAGGTGACATCCCAGTAGCTGGTGCATGAGGAATGTGACACAGCTGCCAGTGTAGATTGTTTTAGTCTCTGAACTTGGTTCAGATCTTCTAATGTGTAGCTTCTAATGGTATAAGACACCAATTACCCTCATTCCATTTACTGAAGTGGGTAAGTCCCATTTACCCATTCCTGTTTGAGTTTTACAACAATTGAGATTTATGTACAACTAGACTGGCATCTCTTTGTCTAGTCCAAAGGCAGGAGTGTGTCATCAGTCAGACATAAATGGCTGGTCATTTTGCATAATCTAAAATCTCCTGTGCTGTTTGATCAAACTTTTTATTATATATAAAAAGCTAACGGGACATGGCTTTTTTGGTATATTTACAGCAACTGCTCACCAAGTCTTCAGGAAATTGGCTTGAGCCTATGGGAAAGGGGAGCCAGATAAATTATATGCAAAGTAGATCTGGTGTTTGATGTGCTGGGCTTACTGTACACGTTGGGCCTTCTTACATCATTGAATTTACGGCTCTAAATTAAATGTAATGTACAGTTTAACCTTAGATACTCTCCAGTCAGCATTATGTGAGGTCCCCAGAATCCTGAATGCTGCTGTGCTTCACACAGTGAGCTGAGATCATGGACCTTTCCTCCTCTCTTAGCTGATGTTTTTCTGCAGAGACTGGATTACCTGGAAAACTATGGTAAAAAGAGCTGCCTAAGCCATTACACAGTCTTTTTAAACTTGATATAGAAGGACCAGAGGGAAACACCTTGGGAATGGCTGGCCATAAATGTGTGACTCATATTCAGACTCTAGCCTTACAGTAAATGCCCTCCAGTTCTTTTCCCTGGATCCAGACCAGCCTGCAAATTACCATAATTTCATAAATGAGAAAAACTAATCCACTGAAATGTGGCACAGCCAGTGTGAAACAGATCACAACAGGCACATATCCCTTAAATTCACTTAGATGGATCATCCACCAGCTGTACTTGCCTGCATGTCTCCCATTTATCACACCTGTTAGTCTAGAATTGGTGAAAGCTGGCAGAAGTCAGTAATTGTGTGTGGAGGAGGGGAAAAGTACATAAACATCGTGGAGCTGCTCCTAAGTGAAGAACATTACCCTGTAATTAAGGCTGCTGTACAGTCTTAATTTAGCCCCTTTGTTTGACTGTATTTCTGAACAACCTCTAGTCATGTAACAGCATCCCATTCTTTCTGGGGGATGCTCTGCCCCCTCTGAGGATAGGCTACTGGGGCCTTTGCTTTGGTGGTATATTATGTTATGATATATACATTAAACTCAGGGCTCATAAATCATTCAAACCTAAAATTATTGGAGGGAAAATCCTCCAGATAGTAAAATTTTGTATTTGTGGAGGTAGGAATGAGATGAAAAGACAGTCTGTACACATATTGTGAAACAGTTTGCTACCAGACCTTTTTCTGGGGGTAGTTTGCTTTTGCACGTGCACAGTTAACTGTCTGCAGAGTCATCCGCAGCAAGAGATTTTTGTCAGCACAAAACTTGGCACGGAATGGGTAGATATCCCAAGCTTATCGTCACACACCTTTCTACCTTGTGTTGATCAGTGGCTTACTGAAACTGGTGTGGGACAGAGGTTAGCGAAGGAATGGGACTCCGTCTGGTCAAGTGCAGATGTTTGCACTCTCATTTGTCTCATGTACAGAGCCCAGCCCTTGGACCTCTCCCTCCCTGGGACTGCTTGCCTGCCCTGGGGCTACACCACCTGCAAGCATGGTAGCAAGGCGTCAGTGGCAGGAGCACCTCTGTGCTTGCACTGAGCCAACAGTTGGGTGTCGCTGGGAGGGGACAGCGTTATTTGTGGTGAAAAGATAAGTTTCGGCAGGTTATGTCGATCTTGTATATGGACATATGTAAATCTCTAATGAGTGGAGGTGATTTTGGAATTGTAGTTAAGGCCATAGGTCTCTGAGTGGTTAAGTCACTGTTGAAATGCTTGTCATGTGCTGGTCCTTCCCCTGTCTTCAAAAGCATCCTGTGAAATAAACTGATGTTAAATCTGATTTTCTGTTGCATAAACCACTTGAAATTAGAGAAGTACAAGTCTGCCAATTTACAGGATGTTTTTAAAAGAAAATGTGGGGAATGAAGACAAATATGGCAGCAGTGATGTTGAAGCCATGACGGTCTAAGCATACAAGCAAGGCTATACCTTTTATTAGACCAATTCATATGATTAGAAGAGAGAAGCAGAATTTCAAACACACTCTTTTTTTACTTTAGGTCTGAAATGGAAGGATTTTACTCAGGTTAAATATAATTTCTCTGAGTTTATTCGCTATAGGCAAACATTTTGACAATTTAAGCATAAGAGATATTTGGTACTTGTGGTGCAAAAGAGGAGTGTAAGCAAGAAGGCAGTATTAAGTTCACTAGTCCTGTGGGACAAAGGTAGAAAAAGGTTGTTGTTATAATTAAAACACTATTGTTATGATTCAGAGAACATCTGACAACCATGCAGGATCATTTACCAGCAAACCCTATGCCAACAATGCTTACAAAAACTGAACTAAACGGAAGTTTTGCATTTACGTCAGATCCCAGCCAAGACAGTGGGTAGGGGAGAGGAAATTCACTGGTAAATGGAAAAGGAACTAAACAAAATTGGCAGGGAAAGAAATGTTATTTTCCAGCCTACAATAGGATATGACAAACAATGGATGTAACTTGCAGTTATTTATAAAAAAAGGTCCTTTTGGAGCAGTGACCTTCTCATCTAACTTTTGTAGAAGATGGCGGTTCACCCCTCTAGGGTTGGAGGGCAAGCAGAGAATATTTTAGATTTAATGCCTTGTTCTTCTCTGCCTAGGCTATGGAAACCTGAGCCCCAGCACTGTGGCTGGTCGAATCTTCTGCATCTTGTTTGCGCTCTTTGGGATCCCCTTGAACCTTGTCCTTCTGAATGAAATTGGGCAGCTGATGCTGTTGGGAGTTCAGCATTGCGCCCATCGCCTAGAGGAGGTGTTTCACTGGAAGGTAAGCAATGTGAACAGATATGTTTCACCCTCAAGTTCAGGAAAGAAAAGACAGAGCATTGTCTGGTATTTGGGATCCTCTGACTACTAAGGCAAGCCTCCATCCTTGTTTGGCCAAAAAAAACTTGATAATACTTAGGAATAACTGGAAGCAAATAAATTTAGTTTATGACAACCCTATGAGGTGTCAGATAAGGTTGTTTATTAATTGAGGGAACTTCTGTGATTAATGGCTTCCCCTACAGCAACAGAAGTGTCAGAGCTTTAGAGCTATGCACAGTTCTAGAATATCCGGTCTGTTTATCATCAATCATAGTTAGAATTGCATGTGTAAGGTACATGGGGCATTAATTTAGGACTCATGAAGATGATGCCCAGTTTGTGTTGACTGGGAGACCACACTGTGTATTCTAGTGGAATGTCTTGAATGTTTGTGTGTTCTTATGGAGTCTAGCAACATCTTGAACCAGAAACTGAGCTGTACTTTTCCTGCCACCCTTCTTGTGACAGTCTCTTCTTTTTTATTCTGTTTTACTAGAAAAAAGCTTCCCTCCTGATTAAGACCTGTGCACTGGTAACTGGCTTGTTATTGTTCCTCCTGCTACCTCCTTTGCTGTTTTCTGACAAAGAAGGCTGGTCTTATGAAGAAGGCTTCTACTATTCCTTCATTACCCTCAGCACTATAGGGTTTGGAGACTATGTGATTGGTGAGTAGTTCACATTTCATTGCTTTCACCTACTAAAAGTCAAAGCCAAATGTGTGGCATATGAAGCTCCCAACTTTGCAGTTTTACACCACTAGCAACTCACAGACCTGATGATAAATGTGTTGAAATAGGCATTTGACAGGTTGGAGAAGACATGATTTCGGACATAGCAATGCCACCTGTGGAAGAACAAAGAAATAATTTCCTGGTCAATGAGTAATCTTCCAGCATTCAGGTGATCTGTTCCTTGAGTGACTACAACTCCAGACTAGAGCGATATGTTTTTAATCACAGCAGTCGCTGATGGTGCACGTGGTGTGCTCCAGTGTGTCGGCAAGGATTAGTTTTAAGCAGATGCTATTCTGCATCACCATTAACAGACAGTGACTGTTTCCTCTGTCAAACCCCCAGACAACTGTTGTCTAAAAGGCAGCTTAAGTCACTTAGGTGTAGACTGTCAGGCACCAGGCACAGCCTAGTTTTGGTTGCCAAAACCCTTTGCCCGGAGGAAATGGGTTTGGACCCACGCCTGATGCATTTGCTGAAACACAGGACACACCTTTTTGATAAAGACTTTCTCATTAAAAACAAATTGGTTATAGAAACACATGCACCCTTGAATCCCTGGGAGACAGAAAGACTAAACCACCTTATTATGGATTCTGTATTTTCTTTTCTTCACAGTGTTTGCTTGATGCTTAGACAACTTAGTGACTGTTACCTTAGGACTTGTCTATAATTCATCAAAGTTATGACTAGAGCTTGTGTAGGCATACTTAGATGAGCTGGAATCAAGTTAGCTTGGGTAAGGGTAGCCAGATGGAGCTTAACAAAAGCTAGCCAGTTCAGCATTTTCCTATGCTGATTTTATAGATAATGCTGAACTCTGTGCTGCAGCAGCCTTACTTCTCTCAGTTCCTGATAACTAATTTTGAATCTCTTCACTAGTATACCTCCCACTTCCACATGTACCTTCACCTGTGTGGTACCTTTGTAACTGGCATACAGCCACAGATACGCTAGGTTCAGGAGGGGAATAACTGAATTTGTCAGTGACCTGTGGTATGTTAGAGGCCAAACCGTTTTGGCCTTACAATCTTGTGTTTGTGGTTTGTCTCAACTTAAAAATAAGGAGGGCCAGGGCATGGAAACATACACTGTTTCCCTGCTAGCATGATCTCTGGCACTGTTCTGGACCAGGTAAATTCTGGAGGATATCATATGCCAGGAGCGATGCCCAATGTTCACTTGGACCCAGCTCCTCTGTTTTGGGGGAAATATAAGCTAAGCTATGGCACTTGGATTTGAAGTCATAGAGTGGTCTCTAGCCTGTTTTATTTAGTATTATTGATGTAGCTTCTCCTACTGGCCCTGAAATCTGTTAATTTGCACACTCAGTAAGCCCTTCTATTGGACACAGGGTCCCATGTAGGTCCTAAACTGCTTCTGGTCTTCTCATCCCAAGACTGTACCTATCAGATGGTTTCTGTGGATAAAGCATTTTCCTTGGAAGCCTCAAATAGCCCTCCCCTCTTGTTTTCATTTATTGTTTGGAAGCAAACAATTTTTAAGCCTTTGAATTTAGCAGAGGTGAAAGGTGCTTGTTTGAAGGATGAATATAATTCTCCTTCTGGTTCAAGTTCACCTTGATGTAGAAAGCCAGCTCAAAGAGGAGTTACCATAGAAGTGGCTGGTATCTTCCAAACATTTACCAGTGACTTATTGACAACCTCAAAATATCTTGTAGTCCCATTATATCAAAAACATACAATGTATATTATATAATAATACCAAGTAAATGGATGTAAAGGATTGGCTGTTTAATATGTCTCCACTGATCAGTTGCTACTTACCACAATCAAGTAACTGTTCATGGACCATGATTTGGGAACTGTGGCCTCCAGGTTCATGGAGGTACCACCTCATACATGTTAACTCCTCACACTCAGTCTAGAAATTATCAGGTTTCTGTAGTATCTGCTGTGCTGTATGTATTAAGTTATAAAGTGACAAACCTTCCTAAGGTAAAGAAACTAAATAATGAGACCTGAGAAGCAGTAGAGAAAAGGCCCATGCAAAGACTTTCCTGCCACTGATTTGTATCTTGTACCTTACCTGTGTTTTTAAGGGTGCCTTAGTCTGCCTTACAGGTACAGCACAGTCATTTCATAGGGCTGAGCTCATGCTTTTTCTTTGCTGTATTACTATTAGCGTTACTGCTGATACTAACTTAGCACGCTGAAGCCTCTTTGCACTAAGCATTGTGGAAACACCACCAAAACTATGGCTTTGCTCCAAAGGGATCACAAAGTACCTAGCTGAGCAACCAGGCAGAGGTAGCATAATTTCAAGCTGTCTTCCAAGGCTTAGATGTTCTTAGAGGTTTTAGGATTGCTCAGGCCCTTCCCCTCATGCTCTTAGAGACTCACTCACTTGCTTATATCTGGCTTAACAAGTTACATACACCAGTACATAAAACCTGCTTAGCTCTCTGTCTGCAGGGAACCCCTGTTACGTACTGATACAATATTGTGATGCTCAGTGGTAAGTAGAGAAATGAAACTGTGCACTTAAATGTGAATAATTTCACTTTGACATAGATGTAATTCGGGATTTATTTTTCTTTCTTAAGTGTAATCTTTGCAATTCCTTGGGGGTTCTAGGCTGATGCTGACATGTCATGAAACATACTTGCTTACGACATCTATTCACATGCTAAGTAGATGGCATACTTCTGTTTTATACAGAAATCACTATTATTAGTCCTATTTCTAATGTTTTTTCTTTACATGTAATGTGTCCTTTGAGGCACTCTTGATCCAATCTAGAAACGTTTTGGGTGATTCTCTTGTAGGGATGAACCCAGACCGCACCTATCCAGGCTGGTACAAGAATGTAATCTCTCTGTGGATCCTCTTTGGGATGGCCTGGCTAGCACTGGTTATCAAACTTTGCATCAGCTTTCTAGAGAGCTCCAGTGACTTCTGTCAGTGCAACAGGAAGAGCACAGAGATGGCAGAAGACTTAATGGATGGCAACAAAAATAGCATGACGGGACTTCACGGTGTGGAGATCTGCAATGATGAAGACATAAAACCAAAAGGGCCAGATGAATCTCACAACTACACAGCTCCTACAGAAGCACTCTAGGGAAGAAACATACCCTTGGTGTCTCCTAAGTGATGCATCTCTGGTGATGCCTAAAAATGTGGGAACAGAGCTGCCCTGACCTTCACATGAGGTGAAAGCTTGCTTATTGAACTTGAAATGCGTCTATTCTGAATTGAGCAATGACAACAAAATGTTACATTTGCAGTACTACAAAGAATTACCAACAGGACTCTTAGTAGATTTACAGAGATACTGCCTGCCCTCTCACCTCAATATACGGGGTAAATTTTGGCATCCATAAGCAACACTAGCTGTTGTCCTTTTCTTTGCATGCAAAGTTCTTGTAGCCTCTAATTGTACATGTGGCACTTAGCAAATGTCACAACTAGAAAAGCAAGTGCCATTTAATGCAGGAAACGAATTACATGTTGCTAAAAGACATACTGAAAAGCACTATTTAAAGCCACCTGGCAGTCACTGCAAATGTGCTGCATCACCTATGTGCTTGTGCTTGCCGAAGGGTGGTAATGTGCTTTTACTCTCTTATCATTAGCATATGGATGGCAATGAGGCAGAGCTTGTAGAGGTGCCTAATAGAAATGGATCATTCATTCATTTTTTTCAAAAGAAATTGCTACATCAGAAGTCCACTAATACTGAAAAGAGACTAGGTAGGCAGGCTGTTCCTTACTCCAGAGCTTAAGTAGGCTCATCTGTTGTAAAGTATTATGTAGACCAAATGTCATCAGCTATATGTGACTGTTCATTTGGATAGATTTTTATTTTGCCACATCTTGGAAGCTAGAAAAGAAGACTCGAGGCAGTTTTAGGTGCCACTGGTTCCAACATTATGCCATGGTCAATGTTAACAAGGGCTACTTTAATCTAGAAACAGACTGAAGTATCTTCAACTGTGATCAAGAGGTGCTATTTTGATGAACTTCTCATGTCATAAATGAATAGTGTATTTGTTCTAGCTAACATCTTTTATATAAGAACAACTATCTTTTGATCTGTGGAATGCTAGACCTGCTTATTTGGCCTTTATGTCAAACATGAACCAGAACTATTTGGGTGTTTTAATTCCATTAAATTCTCAGAAATCTTTTGTTAAATTATACCAGTTACAAAGGCCCAGCAAAGTCCTGCTGCCATTTATATACCCATATCTTTTCTTCTTGTTTTCCTGTTGTGCTACTTGCGTCCTAGAGCATTATCTTTGAAAACTTGAATATAGCAGTAAACCAGAATGAAGCATTTGGGTGAAGCTTCAGCTTCTGCATTGGACAAAGACTCTACATGGACTGTAGAGAAAAAAAATGAAAATACAGTCTGTTGGAGTACAGGACTCAGGAATTAGAAATATTCATAGCTGGACTCATAGAAATGCAGTGAGTGAAAAGTTTACAGTCTTCAGGAATACAAGTTCTGGAACATGTATTGTGAAAAAAGTTGTTTCCAGAGTAGGCCAGTCTGAGTGTTGATATGTGGTGGAACTGATTACAGGAGAAAATGCAGGAAAGGAATCTGCTGGATGAAATTTAGTCTGTCAATCTTTTGTCAGCCTTTTTGTCATCAGCCTTTTGCCGACTCCATAGTAATAAATGTTGTCTCAAATACAGTTTCAATGGCCAGCAGAGATAAGAAAGGGAGGTAGTGGAAATCTCAAGACATAGTTGGGAAACTGATGCAAAATAAATATATTTCAATTTTTTGAACATTTGGTTATTTCTTAACAGCCTTTAACATAAACTTTTCTGTTTATTCTATGTTTTGTCTTGTTTATTTTCACTGATAGATACACAATGTAGGTTTTACTAATGTTCATAGTGGGCTAGTCTACAATAAGACTGAAGTGTATTTCTTTAAACAAAAATGAATCACAATTCCACAGCATAAAATGTGATACCCTTTTACGCATATCCTTTGCACTTTCTTTCAGGTGCAAAACTTAGTAAATATAACTGTATTATAAAATCTGGATGCCCATGAGGTGGTAGGAGTTTCTACTGTTAAAGCATGGGAATGACTATGCTAAATCTATTTCAACTTTAACTTGAAATGTCCCAGGCTCAGGGGATTTCTACCAGCTCTGTTCTTTGATGAAAAGGCTTAGCTTGAGAAGAGTTTCTTCTTTTCAGTTTGAATGTCTATTATGTTAATCATACCTAATTCATATTCCCATATATTTGTAGTTTGTGGATGAGATTTTCAAAAGTGCCTTAGAAGTTTGGGCACGTTGGTCCCAATGAAGTGCAGAGTTGCATGCCTTAGGACAGCTAATACATGCTTCTGAGAGCTAAAAGGAAGATGAATTCTGAGTAGTCCCTCCCAAAAAAAGGAAAAAAACAGTAATTTTCCATAGATCTCAGTGCTTCCACTGTGTGTCAGGGTTCAGCCACAAACCTAAGCATGTGGCTGGGTCTCAAGATGACTCAATATCTGCCCCAGAAATCCTTGCTGATTCACTTCCTTCTGTTACTCAGCAGCTCACCACCAGCATAGTCCTGCTGCTGTCTGATACAGCATACTTTACAGGAGGCACATCTGAACTCCTTGCAAGCTACACATAACTTCAGACCTGCAAGTTGCCTGCTTGGGTCCTTGATCACCAAAAAAAAAAAAAAAAAGAGATAAATGAGTCAAATACCGTCTCTGCCTGGCTTCTTGGGTGCCAGATGAGCATGTTGTCATTTATGAACAGCCTTTTATTGACAGTTCCTCAGCCAGCTTTTGATCGGACGATAGATATTATTGTAACTGAGTCCCCACAAACTGCTGTGCCTCTAGTCTTTCTGTTCTTTATAAAGTTGTGTTGTGGTTAAATGACGTGGATGAATTTGTTCCCAGAGGGATGAGAAGAAAGTGGAGTTTTGCAACAGCACAAAAACATCATCACCAATGTGTCTGCTTCATCAAAATATGAAAGGTTATCTGCTCAAGGACAAAATAAAGAAAACAAAAGCATGGGTGCTGTTATCGTTCTTGTCACAGCTGACTTGCAGTCTTCTGTAATCTGTATTGGAAAATTACAGATGCTCCTTGATTTTATTTTTATTTTTTATAATGTCTCTTCTGGCTCAGATGAGTGTGCAGTTTCCATTAGTTATTTCAGGTTAGACTTTCACTGCTATTATTCTTCACAAGTCAATTAGGAAGAAATTCTTCAGTACAAGGGTGGTAAGACTTTGGAATAAATTGCCCAGAGAGGTTGTGGATGCCCCCTCTCTGGAGGTGTTCAAAGTGGTTGGACGGTGCCTTGAGTAGCCTGGTCTAGTTGAGAGGCGTCCCTGCCCATGACAGGGAGGTTGGATTAGTTGTCCTCTGAGGCCCCTCCCAGCCTATGCCATTCTATGAATTCTTCCCTATTATCCTGTTTTCTTCCTTGTGAGGAGCAGGGGCTGGAAACAGGTTTAGTTAGTAATCGTAGTTGTAAATATTTTTGTGACACTGGTGTCCAGACGCTTTTGCACAATCACATGGAGCATAATGTGCTTCTGACCTTTATACAGTTTTCCAGGAGATCAATCCCTTCAAGCAAGAAAATAAGCCTCTCTCTAGGTCCCCTACTCCAAGGACAAGTTCTGGCTTCAGTCTCAGTGTTTCTCATGTTCGTGTTTTCAACTAGTCCAAAAGAGATGTTTACCCCTTGGGGAGAGAGATGTCCAGAAATATGTAATAGGATGTTACAGCAGCGTAATACAGACTGCTCAGAACTGCACAGTTTTTAATAAGTCTTCTAGTTGACTATAGTATTTTTAGATCCCTAGACTAGAACAGAAAAGCCCTTTTTCCATGATGGACTCCAAGTCAAAAAAAATCCAGGATGTCTTTTTTTTTCTCACAATAGTTGGCTGATGAGATCTTATCTTACAACTGATATCCTAGCTCAGTTTAGAGCTGGAACTGTTGAGCCTAGAGAAGAGAAGGCTCAGGGGGGGTCTCATCAATGTATATAAATACCTGCAGGGAAGGTGTAAAGAGGATGGAGCTAGGCTCTTTTCAGTGATGCCCTGTGACAGAACAAGAGGCAACGGACACAAACTGAAATACAGGAGGTTCCTCCTTAACACCAGGAAACACTTTTTGACTATGAGGATGACTGAGCACTGGTACAGGTTGCCTGGGAGAAGTGGCAGAGTCTCCATCCTTGAGGTATTCGAAAGCCATCTTGACAGAGTCCTGTGCAACTGTCTCTAGGTGACCCTGCTTAAGTGGGGAAATTGGACCAGATGACCTCCAGAGGTCCCTTCCAACCTCAGCCATTCTGTGATTCTGCATTTCAAGGTCAATCCGTCCTCCGCATAGTCCATAGCCAGCAGCCTGCCACTCTCTCCAAACTGTCTCTTAGCATTCAGGTTCTACTCTCAGTAGGCCTAGTAGACCTGATTCTTCCCGGAGAAGAAATAGATCTTTTCAGTCTGAGTGAGATCAATGGGGTGGTCTATTTATCTATGTTTTTCATAAAAACTTACAGAATTTTCCTTTATCTATGCAGATATCAACCGAGATTTAGGTTCCATTGCATTGGGCAATTCACCGGCACTAATTATTTTTATCTCACAGAGAACAGCTTTATACAAATGGTGGTACAGAGCAGGTACAATTAGTTGCAGGCAGAGGGATGTTTCCTCCAGTTGTTTAGAGAGCATTGTGCCGTTCCAAAAATGTGCGATAACATTCAGCCTCCTGTCGTTATTATATATCTGCCTACAAGATTCAGCAAAAGGATTCAGCGCTTCATCTCTGACACACTTCAGGTAAGGCAAACCTCACTTTGGTTTACCCTTTCTAAATTAGAGACTTACATCAGTACAGGTGGCTACTGACCCATTGAATCAGGGCAAAATTTTAATGTAATTAGGTGTTATGAGCCTGCCATCTCTGTAAATAAATATTCTGGCTGATGGAAGAGGGGGATGCAATCAAAAAATGGTCTTTTTCAGTACCATTGTGCTCTGGCTTAGGGAACTGTGTGCTTGATAGTATCTCTCCTTCCAGTAGTCCTGGCTGTGTGTGAGGTAGCATCAGGATACATA